ATGTAAGGTAATGTTTTTTGCATGTGCAACATATCAAATGTATAGAATGTTGGCATACCTCTGTACTACTGAAAATATAAGTATACATATGTGGCTGAAATTTTAAATGTTGAAGCATTGTGGAAATTATGCATTATCTAAGCAGACATCTGATCAAAATGGCAAATTGTCCAAATGTCAGTCTGAATTAGCCCAAAGTACACAAGCATTAGCAGTATTAAAATTGGGAAAGCTAATTTTTCCAGAGTCAGCAACATCAGTTTCTGAATGAATTACACAATTTTTAAAGAGTTAACAATGATATTGGTTCTTTTTTATCATTTATCTATGAAGTCCAGGAAGTAAAAATGACCAAATGAAGCTAGCAGCATTTTGTACACCTGAAGTAATGACAAGCTGTAGACTCTATATCCCAAATGACATTCATTAACCACACAAAAGAAATAACGAATTAAGCTTATATCAGTTAAATTATATTGGAATGTTTATATTAACTGTACATTGTCATGACAGAAAACATGAGATTCTTGTAGCATTTTATTTCCAAACAAGGCTTGCTATGCCATAGTTGGATACTGTACAATATGTAATTCAATGCATACTAAATTTATTATGATCTGTTTACTTTTCGAAATTAGGCAACAATTTCATAATATGGCATGAAGAAAAAAAACAAGGCTTACAATGGAAGTAGTTATCGACTGGACTAATATGGCAAATTAAAATATTAATTAAAAATGGTAAACAATATTTTACACAATGATATACTGCATTTCTGGTATTAAAAAAAAGGCATATGTGGCTTCTTTCAGTATATGTAGGGAGCTTGTTTAAAATTTTGTTATAGAAGACTGAACAAGCACTGGGTGAGAATCATACACCGTGCTCAGTTGATACACACTGGTTCATATTACTACCCCATCCATTATGCTTGTGTGCGAATTTTGGCAATAAGTTATAACATGCTAGCAGGCGTATGATTATTATCTTCCGGTAATAGATACAAAAACAGATCTTTTCTCACAAGAAAATCTTACGGTTCCTGTTCCATACCCGAAAATGAATGATTGGTCCCTAGCTATCGATGACTGCAAAACTCTACTATGCTATACTGTACTGTATACCCACTGGAATACATTTAAAATACCCCCCCCCCAACACCCACACACTCTCTTTCGTTCACAGAAAGGGCTTTAATACACTTAAATGTCTATAAAGACAGCTATCACCCTGCCATGGCTATCAGTTGGCGGATCACTATGAAATGAATAGACTGAAATTCCACCTTTGCATATTGTTTCCCATAAATTCGGCTCCGGTACTCTTGTTATGACCGACATCTTGCTATTGACGTACAACAGCCAAAATGTAAACAATTTGCGCATATAAACTAGATCTCTGTTTTTCTATTAAAGTTGTGTATCTTCTCCTTTTTATAGTATATCATGAGCAATATTGTAATAATATGAAAAATCTGAATTTAATTCACTGGAATGGCTCAAAGAATGCAAAAAAATACGAAGGGCAGAGCTCTAACATATTAGTAGGCGTATAAATATAGTAACCAAGGAAAAAGTAGTGCAAATTCTTTTTCAAGGGAAGTGACTCCAAATGTCCCTTTCAAATAATGACTAGAAAATATTGGGTTTTTATCAGGGTGGGGTAACGATACTTTTCCCATATTAATGACTTCGTAATACCGAAGATGTACGAGTATTTGGTCCATTAAAAAATCTGGCCTACTGGGTTTTTATTTTCATCAGCAATAATTTCAAATGTACTTATGTTCATTCGTAAAAATTATTTTACCAACAAGATCTCCGGTCTCCCACCCCGACATTACGAGTACCCCGTAATGTCAGGATAAAGAGAAGTGGTAAATGATTGCAGTAGTAATATAACGATTTATTTGTACCTGCGTAGTGTCCTAGCCTTTGTTGACCCAAGTTCTACAATGGAAGACATCGACTTTAATATTTATGTTTTCGGGTCGCCCTCTTACCACAGATGCTCGACATGAGCTATATGTTGAAAAAGAACAATAATCTGAAATAAAATAAATCATCCCAAGTGACAAAATTAAATCAGAATTTCCTTATTACCGTTATGACATAGGAAACTGTCCATCATACTATCTCTTTTATATCATGATGGCCAGGGTCCTAAGTCATAACAGGTAACAAGGATAATTAGAAAACATTTATCACTCGTTTAACATTTGTTTTGTTTTGTTGTTTGTTTTATTTTTCCTTCAGGTTATTTACAGACCTGAAGCTCTGAATTATCTGATCAGGTTTTTGTTTAACATTAAGCTCGCGTCGAGCACCTGTGCCAACAGCTACAAGGTCGAAGCCTTATGGTACCAATATTAGTACTAATGTGCCACTTACTGCCTAAATGAAAACATGTAACAGGTTTCCCAGTCGAATGGCGGATGAACGAGAGGACAATTTTTATTTAGGAATGTCTCACGTACTTTGCAGCCCATATTGACGCTGTTCTACAATTAAACTCATATTACTTTAGTTGGACTTTATTTACTCTGATGACATTTTTTTTCTAATGAATCCAAATTCTGATAGAATCAAATTAACGTTGTTTTTTTTTTCAAGTTCTATTGACCTAATATTTTAGTTCGCTTGAATGCCGAAATCGGTTAGAAGAATGATGGGGCATTTGAACGAAACGAAGCTCACTAAACACTTTCTTCAATATTAATATCTTTTTATTCGCTTCCTTAAAGAAACATAGTTCAGCTTAATCTGATTTCGGCACTGCCGGCTTCCTTTGCATTCGAGCCAATGAATGAATAATATCGAATTCAGTTTGTCTGCCCACTGATGAAAATGGCTAACTCAAAACAGACTATGTATAATCTATCTTACGGCATGGCCTTATGATACGTAAAATTTTGAACAAGTTCTAAATATTTTATCACATAAAACGGATAGCCAAGAAAGAATACAATTTTATATTTCACATACATCTAGAAACGAAGATTGCTCCTTAAAGTGGGCAGACAGCGACAATTTACTTTACAAGTATGGCATGACGTTTACGCATGTAAACAGCTTAGTTTAGTTATTGCCTGTCAACGTTTACAAAACTGGTTAACGTGTACACATACATGCATGTGGCTGTCAGTAAAACATGAACTATCTGCACCATATATATTTGATTTATGTCCCCTGTTTACCATTAGTAAGAATATTTTTATATATTTCTACTTTACAGAATAACTTAATTAGTGAAATTATAAACTAATATCATAACGATACATTTCTGTTAATTAATTTCTTTAAGTATTTTTTTCCTCATGTACATATACGTAACAGTTGGAAATATAATAACATGCCCATCTTAGTGATGTTTTATCAGATAAATTCACAAAGATATGTTTTATATCGACATTATGTTCTTTGTATATCAAGGATTACAGATCGTGCAACGAAATATCACACAGCGGCAAACTCAACATGGAGCTTCACTCTTGCATTATTTTGGAATTATAAAACTATGTGTCTGTTTGAATAATTGAGTGACCAACACTCGAATTCAGGAACAGTTTAAATTATGTCTGAAAGAGAGATGATCAAATCAAATATATCGGAGTTATGCAATCAGTGATGAAAAACATGATAAAAAGAGTTGGAAGAGTGCCTGAAAATATGCCTGAAAAGGTAATTTAGCATAAAGCGAATGATTAACGTAGAGTTGAACAAAAGATGTAAAGCACGAGTCACATAATGCTGGATCAGTACACAACCATGTTAAAGCTATTGACCAGTTTAACATAGGATTTCCAGTTTGAAGCCATAGCGTCGCTCGAATGTAAGTGTACATCTTCGCTACCATGGTCCCTATATATTAATCACATCGACACCTTGGCGGATCGATTAGATAGTAGAAAGTTTGGTCATAGCTGACCTATTGAAGTTCATGAGTTGTCTCCCATTGTATGTACTGCAAACCAACCAACAGACCAAAAGTATGTAACAGCGGTGCATTGTTACTTTGTACATCTGCCGAAAATGGCGGCGGATATTGACTGCAAAAGAATACTGTGCAAACGTAACATCGAAAGTATGAATTCGTACCAGAGAAAAGCCATTACATGTGTATTTGAGGGAAAAGGTGTATTTGTATTAGATGCGGTGACTTGCCGCAGCATCTAATACAATTTACAGATCCGAAGCTCTAAATTATCTTATCAACCTGCTAAGGCGCTGATAGGGTTAACATATCTGAGCCTTGGCTAGCGAAAACGTTAAGTCCACGGCTCCTATAAACTTATCATTGACAGCTACTTAAGTGCAGTGTTAAATACTTAATCCTGTCAAAAATCCAATAATGCTATCAGTTACTTCCTTTTCAAAATTAGTGTGCAGCATATTAAGCAGATAACAAAATCCATTTTAACCCTGTTCATTCAATTGAAGGGTCTTGTTTTTTAACATTCAATTGTTTTCTTATTTCTCTGTTAATCTGTTAATAAGCTTAATGGATAAGTCATGCTGTCTTTTACAAAACCAAAATGCCACACTTCTTAATTATTACTTTTTCAAATACGGTTTAGTGCCGTTAAAATTCATAAAAATGTTGAATGTTATCACAGGAAAATCTTATCTAGCTTACTTTTTCATGAAAGTATCTCTCTACGCTAAAGTGATGATTGTGTTTACAATTTGTCTCAATACATTACGATTTTCAATCAGATTTAATAGCTGTAAATGCCTCTAACACACATTAAAATAAGTCTGTAAAGTTATTAAGTCTTGATCTCTGATTTTCTTGCTTACCAACCATCCTTTTTCAGATATAGTTTTTCTTTAACTGCGCTATACTTCATTGTCCTAGCAAAACAATCAAACTATTTATATATAAACAGTGACATTATGCTCCCATTAATTATCTACTAACAATAGTTGTTTCTTCTATAGAAGACAAGCTATTAACGTGTACTTCATTCTCAATTTCTAATTTACAAATAAGTTACCAACGCTCCGGTGGCTTAAGTGGTTAGATCGTCCGTCTCGGATGCGGGAGGTCGCGGGTTCGAACTCCGGCTGAGCCATGCAAAGACTTATCTAAAATTGGCACAGGCAGCTACCTCGCTTGGCGCTCGCCATTAAAAAGTCAGTGTTAGAACTGGTCGGCCTGGTGTCAGCATAAATGATGCCACATGTCTGCGGCATGATGCAAATTGCCTCACTGCAGATGTCGCAGCCATATGACTGAACAGTTGTTAAAGCTACGTTAAAAAGCCAAATAACACACAAACAAAATTGTCAAATCGTTCAATTCCTATCAGTTTACTTGCATCAGCCTATTTTTGTGTCCAATCTGTGTTCTCTAATTCTGATATGAGATCATCTAAATTTGGAATATGCACACATAAAGAAAAAAAAATAAAACATTTGAATATGGTACATAGAATATTTGAGTCCCGTTATGAAACAATTCAGGTTTTATATTTTAATTCATTTGTCTTGCATCGTTTTTATTTGGATTCCAGAGTTTACAACATTAGTTTATATTCACTGAAATATTGTTTAATAACTACGTTTAAGCAAGTGTGCTAGGAGTCTCTGCCACTGGAATTAATATTAGCACTTCATCTTACATCTTTTAGAATATTAATGTTCAGAAAAGTGTTTTTTTTTAGATGTTACAAATTTAACTTGTTAACTAGAGAGGACCTCACCAGTTTACTCAGCATCCAGCGTTGGTGGTATTATTTCTTATTTTAAGAGTTAGTTCAAAAACGTTTTGATGTAAATTGTTTTAATAATTCTGACCTGGTTAAATAATTATATTTGTCTTTTGTCATAAATTCAGTAGTCTAAATTTCACTATCACACAGTATAATGAGACAGATAAGCGCGTTAAACCTCTCATAACACATATAATAAGGTTAAGTAAAGAACCTTGAAAGGTTCGGTATGTTTCAAAGATTTATTTAAGACCTTTCCTATGTAATATTTCCATAGAGGCCTTTAACACACCATTCTAAAATAACGATACATACATTCTTCGTATCTATATACGGTTGCAATAAATGATGCAATCTAAATATCTAGATTATCATCAGTTCCACCTCTGCAATCTACCGCATCAGGACCTGGCGGTTATGCAACCAGACACACCATGCTATGGTCTTCAATATCGACAGTGACTAGTCTTGTTAATCCAAAGCAAACCGTTCTAATTTATAATGTTTTAGAGTATTAATTTTGTGACGTCGTATATAAGCAATATTGGGGCCCTGGGCAACGGAGTGGTAAAAAGTGTTTGCCTTTACCGATCACCGCTATCTCACGCTTGGGTTAGAGTCTCGGGCTCGGTAATTGTGACTATGTGCGAAAACTTCCGGTAGGTCTTTCTCAGGTTTTCTCCTGTTCTTCCCTCACCAATCATACTGGCTGCGATGTAGTTTCTCTTGTGCTAACAGATGGCGTTAAAAACCAAAAAGCAATAACAATAAAAGAAGCATTATTGTTTAAAGGCGAATTGGATGAACGAGACTAAAAATGTATTAGCAATATATGTGAAGAGATCAATGACCAATCAAAACATACTTAAACTCATGAAACTCTGTGACAAATCGTATATCACAAAACACATTTAAATTCGTGTAGCTACCCATCCAAAACAAAATTTAAAACACTGATATAAGTGCGGAAAATAAATTCAAATGATAGAAAATCATGCGATGAAACCTTAATAATGTACAATTGCCTTAGAATTACCTAAGGGCACGAAAAAATACACTCTGCATTATATGTAGTCCTATATATCTATATTGTTTACAAATTTTAACAAAATAATTTATTTCACTTTAAAGCAAGATAAAAATGTGAAAATGGATTTACGGCTTGTGAATCTAATAATGGAATTAAAAATAGACGTCCTATCACTAAAAAGTTCTAAATGAATCAAAGTTCGAATCCCAATGAATTTCCAATATGGAAGGCGATGACGTCTTCTATAATCTGCCTTGTGTTGTAGTATCAACAGTTCCTTGTTGAATTTTATGAATCAAGAATAATATTCCGGCTTTAGAATTCCGAAGAATTTCCAATAATTTTCTTTGTCCAAGATTTTTATGAGCACTGGTATTTTCCAGGGAATATAAATTATTAAATCCAAAAAAGAAGAATTTTAAATCAAATTGGTATCAACATAAAAAGCACATTGATCTCTAAAGGTCTAAATTACGACTGGCAAAATCCACTATAAAATATCTGTTTTAACCCTCAATTTTAGATCACATGCTTGTTTCACATAGTTACTTTGTTTGAACAGCGCAGTAAAAGATATGTAAATTAGAACGTAGGCTATACGGGTTAGATTGGTTGGTTTGTTGGTTGAATTTTTTTTTTTTTTACGCGCATCAGCACAATGAGTCTAAGGGACCCCGAGAGGCCGAGTGGTCTAAAGCGCTGTTCGTTACGGATCACTGCCATCTCACCTCTGTGTGAGTGGGTTCGAGTCTAGGATTCGGCGAATGTGGATATGTGAGAAAGCTTGCCAGTAGCTTCTCGTGGGTCGGTGGTTCTTTCCGGTGATTTCCCGGTTTTTTTCCTCCACCATTAATACTGGCCACCATGTATAGCCTATCGTGTGCTAAAAAATGGCGTTAAACGCCACAACAACAACAACAATGAGTCTATTGAGCGCCATACAAAGGGTTAAATTATTTCAATATTTAAAATTGATAACGTGTTTATGTATCTACCAGCGATATAAAACCAAACAGCTGAAGGTAAAACGATAAAATGGCGACGGTGATAAAAAAAGTAGTTTCCCGATCAACGGGAAGTAAAAATGATGTATGACAACGAAAGCAGATGAAAGGTAATTAAAATCTAGCGACGTTATATATAGCACATAAAACTGTTCAAGGTAAAGGCATAAAAGCTATAACTTATGATAAATATTTACTTCCTTCAGGAAGTCTATAATATAAGAAATGCCAACTGTATCACAGAGCTCCTAATGTCTTGCACATTGTAATAATGATTACGAGTAGGTTGGAAGTCGAAACACTCCAGTATAAAGTGCTTAACAGTGAAATGGTACATAGCAAGATATGCACTCTGGTGGGTCTTCTTTTAGTACGCAGGAGTGTGTTAAATAAGTATGGCCGATACGAATTCTTGCAATGTCTACTTCCTCCCTACGGACGGCTCTGTAGGAAAGGGTCCATTCTGCAAGTGTTGGCTTGATGACATGAAGTTTGTTATTCACGGCATCATTCTATGATGCTTGCCATTTCTGACGTAAACAATCTTTGATACAACATTTAAAATCCGTATACGGTGTATTAAAATCAGATGGTTCTAGTGACAGGGCCATTTTAGCAGCGCAGTCTGCTTTGTCATTACCTTTAATTCCAATATGGCTGGGTAACCAACAGTATACTATATTGTGTGAGGTACTCAGCTCAGTATGTTAAGGAGAACATTAGCTAATAAAATATTTTCCAGTTTTCTATTGTGTTGTGGCTGAAGTACTGATAATGAATCGGAGATGCTGCTGTCTAAAATACGTTTGCCTTGCAATGTATTGCAAAGAAAGGTCTATTGCTCTGATTTCGGCTAAAAAAATTTGACATACCATTTGGCAGCAGCCGTTTCCTCATCTTTTGATCCATCAGTGTATATTCTTGTATAATTTTCAAATTGAGCGAGGAGTTCATCGTAAGAGTTGTTGAAGAGGGAAGGGTTTGTCTCCTACTTTTTACCATCATATAGCATGAAAAGTACCCTTGGTTGCTGAAATAGCCAGGGAGGTGTTTCTGAGACGGTCGATTTCAGAATTTTTGAAAGATAAATTTGGGTACTTTTAATGAATGTTGATATTCTAATGCCAAAGGTAGGTGTGACGTTTGGTTTATTATCATACAAGGTTTTATATTTGGGTTCGAAAACAGACGAAAAAGCTGGGTTCAGAGGGTTGGATCTTAATTTGAGAGCATACTGTGAGGAAATCATTTCTCTACATTGTGATAAAGATGGTTCGTTCGCTTCAACGAGTAGGCTTTCACACGGGGATGTCTTAAATGCTCCCATAGCCAGTCTAATTCCCTGATAATGAATTGGGTCAAGCATCTTCAAATAGGACTTCCTAGCTGAATCATAGACAACACAACCATAGTCTAGTTTCGAAAGGATAAACGTTCTGTATAAACTGAATATGACTCTCCTATCAGCACCCCAGTCAGTGTGCTCTATTAAAAATCAAGAGACTTCAAGCATTTAGCTTTCAAATTTTTCAGGAGTGGACTAAAAGTCAGATTTCTATCGAAGATAATACCTAGATATTTTGCTTTCTCAACAAGTGGAATAGGTGTTCCGTCCAGCATGAGTTTAGGTCCATCATGATGTCTTCGTAACTGACAGAAATGCATACAGACATTTTTTGATTTCGAGAATTTGAAACCATTAGTGTTGGCCCAATTTTGAATCTTGTTGATATTTTGCTGTAAATGTCTTTCGATTGTATGCATGTGGTTGGATCAGTAACATGTTAAAAAGTTATCAACGTATAGGGAGCAATCCACACCTGGCGTCAGACAATTGGTGATGTTATTACTTTTTATGTTAAAAAGCGTCACCGATAAAATAATGTTTTGGGGCACTCTTGATCATGCATATCAGAGAAGGTGGATCTCATTCGTTCCCTGTCTGAGAGGAAGTTTGATATGAACGAGGGCAGATCGTGCAGGTCATTTAGTATTCCGTACTTCCATGTTGTGTCATATGTCTTTTCCAAATCAAAGAAAACCGCTACTAAGTGTTCCTTCTTGATGAAAAGGTCGCAAATAAATGTTTCCAATCTAACCAGATGATCATTGGTGCTAAGACCATAACAAAAGGCATTTACGAAGGGTGATATTAAATTGTTGCTTTCCAGATACCACACAAGCCAAGAATTGATCATTCGTTCCATTACTTTTACATACGCAGCTAGTAAATGATATAGGTCTATAGTTGGCAGGATCTGCGCTAACTTTACCTGGTTTTGGAATTGGTATTAATGCTTTTTTTTCCAAATGTTTGGTACATTACG